AATAGAATAGAATAGAATAGAATAGAATAGAATAACAGAGTTGGAAGGGACCTTGGAGGTCTTCTAGTCCAACCCTCCCTTCAAGGCAGGACTCCTTATACCATTTCAGACAAATGGCTGTCCAGTCTCTTAAAAACTTCCAGTGATGAAGCACCCACAGCTTCTGGAGGCAGGTTGTTCCACTGGTTAATTGTCCTCACTCTCAGGAAATTTCTCCTTAGTTCCAGATTGCTTCTCTCTTTGGTTAGTTTCCATCCATTGCTTCTTGTCCTGCCTTCAGGTGCTTTGGAGAAGAGCCTGACCCCCTCTTCTTTGGGGCAGCCCCTGAAATACTGGGACACTGCTATCATGTCACATCCTTTTCATTAAACTAGACATACCCAGTTCCAGCAGCCACTCTTTATATCTCCTGCTTGAGCAAGGGGTTGAGCTAGAAGATCTCCAGGCTCCCTCCCAACTCTGTTATTCTGTAAGTCCTTCCCCTCTGTTTCTCGCAGGCCGATGGAGGAACTCGGTGACTATTCCGAAGTCTACATGCTCCGAGCCGTGGCAGTTGGCCAGACGACCCTCGTGGCCACAGCTTGGGACAAAATGGGAATCAGGTTCATGTCCCCGCCACGGAAGGTGGAGGTAAGGACATGCAAGCCTGTGGGGCTCCCTCAAAGTCAGCTCTGTGGGAAAACGCTGGGAAGAAGCTTTTCCAACATCTGTAAAAATCAGGTTCACACTTTTGATTGATTGATTGATTTTTCACACTTTTGAACTGCCCATCTTCCCCAGAAATGGATAAACTAAAAGATTTATAAATCAAAAGATGTGTAAATTGACAGCTTGGCAAATGAAAAGCTTCGTAAATTTAGAGATTTGCAAATGGAAAAGATTTTGCAAGTTAAAAGATTTGCAAGTTAAAAGATTTGTAAATTTTATTGCTTTAAATAGGAAACCATGATTTATTGTAGCAGTCCTTGGATAAAACCAGAATCTTCTATCTAGGTCAAGGGTCTTCAAACTTGGCTCTTTTATGACATGTGTGGCTGAGGAATTCTGGGAGTTGAAGTCCACAAGTCATAAAAGGGCCAAGTTTGAAGACCCCTATTTTAGGTGTTCCCATGTGCTTACCTTTTTATTTATTTCTCCCAAGACTAACTTGATGCTGTGGTGTGTTTTGCCAGGTCTTCCCACCTTTCAGGCTGATCCCGGAGAAAATGACCCTCATCCCTCACAACATGTGGCAGGTGAGTCCGGGATCCCAAGCAGACAACGCTGGTTTATGGGTCATGGCCTTTTTCTCCCCTCTCTTCAAAGGCCTGTCGAAGTCAGATTGAGGCTACCGTAGTGGAGGACAGGGTTGAGTTTTGGGGGTGGTCTTGAAGGCAGAAGCCTGTGTCACGATCCTCCTGACCCGCACAGTTCTTTGCCTCCGATCGCAGGTGATGTCGGAAGGGGGACCCCAGCCTCAGTCCCTGATCCACTTCTCGATCAACAACCAAACCGTGGCCGAGGTTAACGGGCTGGGACAGGTCAGCGCCAAGGCCGTGGGGACAGCTTTTATCCTGGGTACCATCCGGGCCGTCAACGAAGACACGGGAAAAGTCATTGTCTTCTCCCAGGTACTTTTCGTGTGTGTGTGTGTGTGTGTGTGTGTGTGTGTGTGTGTGTGTGTGTATTCCTCCAGAGGAGGGAACTCAAGCCATCTTCTCCCTCAGGATCAGGTGGAGCTGGAAGTGGTTCAGCTGCGCACAATTCGAATCCACGCCCCGGCCACTCGACTCGTCACCGGCACCGAGGTGGGTTCCAGCGAGCCATCCCATTGGGTCTCACACCCCGTGTGTGAAGACTTGTGAGTCGCTAATGGAAGTATCTCCCCCCCCCCATCCGGACACTGGAACCTGGATGATCTGTAATAAGTAACCAGGGTTGATTATCTCCTGAATACGCTCAGATTTGGGATCCCGGTCTGATCTGCCGGTCCCGGATATGAATCCAGGTAGGTCTTGTGAACGAACAATGAACCCGTGGAACAGCTTGCCTCCAGAAGTGGTGTATGCTCCATCACTGGGGGCTTTTAAGAAGAAACTGGACAGATATATGTCTGAAATGGTCTTTAGGGTCTCCTGCTTGAGGACCTCCAGGTTCCCTTCCAACTCTTGTCATTCCGTTCTCTCTTCTTGGACAGATGCCTGTGTACGTCGTGGGGCTGACCAGCACCCTGACTCCATTCTCCTTCGGTAGCTCTTGCCCACTCCTGACCTTCCACTGGGCAGTGAGCAAACGAGACGTGGTCGACCTTCTCCCCAGGCACTCAGAGGTAGGAAAGACCCACCCTCTTTTAAAACCCACCCACCCAATTTGAACAAAGAAAACAAAAATGGGACCACATAAATGGGCTCATAAGTCGTGGACTCCCTGTATATACCGCCCACCTTTTTCCCCACCAGATTTCCCTGGCCCTTCCTCCGGAGAGCAACTTTGCCATGGTGCTGCGGACCAGGGCGGCGGGCAGGACCAGCATCAGGGTGACGGTGTCGACTTCGGACCCCCAAGCCGGACAGCTGGAAGGAAACCTCACCCAGCTCTTGGATGAGGTGCAGGTCCTGGTGAGGAATCACGGAAGAGCTGGCAGGCATTTCTTCGCTTCCTTCCTCAAGCCTTGGCTGTTCCCAAGGAATCCTAGGACCGGGAGGGACCTTGGAGGTCATCCAGTCCAACCCCCTGCTCAAGGCGGGAGTCCAGATACCAATCTTTTGTGGAAAACCTCCAGCCTTGAATGTTGAAATGGAGGAGCCACGGTCCATTCCTGGATGAAAGTTGCTTCATCTCTCCCTCTCTCTTCCTCTCCTCTCTCTCCCTCCCTCCCTCCCTCTCCCCCCTTACAGGTCTTTGACAAAATCCAGCTCTTCTCTCCTGAATGTCCCATGGAGCAGATCCTGATGTCTATGAATTCACAGCTCAAGTTACTTACAAACAGGTACCAGAGACGGTTCTCGGGCAGGGATAATAATTGTGGTTGTTACTCGAGGGCTACAGTTGTCCAGTCTCGTCTGGAAAACCTCCAGGATGGAGCAGCCACAAGGCCCGGAGGCTTCCTCCCTTCCTTACCTTCAAAGGGGGTGTTTGTTCTCCCTGCTTTCCTCGCTTAGGGACGGGGCTGCCTTCGTCAGCACCCAGATCCTGCAGTGCTTCCCAAAGTCCTCGGTCATCGAAGAGGACGGGCACGGGCTCTTGAAGGCAGGAGCCGTCACGGGGACGGCGGTCCTGGAGGTGACCTCTCTGGAGCTCTTTGGCGTCAACCAGACGGTCATCACCGGTGTGAGGGTAAGGGGGTCTACAGAAGAGGCCTGCCTCGTCAAAACGGGGCTGGGGGAGGGGGCATCTCCAACTGTGGATGGGATGGAATGGAATAGAAATAATAGAAATAATAGGAATAGAATAGAATGGAATAGAATAGAATAGAATAGAACTGAAAGGGACCTTGGAGGTCTTCTAGTCCAACCCCCTGCTCAGGCAGGAAACCCTACACCATTTCGGACAAATGGCTGTCTGATCTCTTTTAAAAAACTTAGAGCGATCGAGCATCCACAACTTCTGGAGGCAGGTTGTTCCACTGGTTAATTGTTCTGACTGTTAGGAAGTTTCTCCTTAGTTCTAGGTTGCTTCTCTCCTTGATTAGTTTCCACCCGTTGCTCCTTGTCCTGCCTTCAGGCGCTTTGGAGAATAGCTTGGCCCCCTCCTCTTCTTGGTTGGAAAGGAAGCTGAGAACACCCCATTTTCTTCCCAGGTGGCCCCAGTCTCTTACCTGCAGCTGAGCAGCGCCCCTAAGCTCTACACAGCCAGCCGGGCGCCTCTGTCGGCCTTCCCCTTGGGCATGGCTTTGACTCTCACTGTCCGGTTCTTCGACAGCGCCGGGGTAAAGTTTCACGCGCAGAACACCCAGCTGCACCTGGCCTTGAACAGGTAAGCCCTCCTCAAACCCCCCCCCCAGAGAGGCGGGTTCAAGGAGATGCTTTGTGGGCACAACCTCTGGAAAGCTGCCGGGGGGGGGGGTTGAGTAGCCTTGTGCTCAACGTAACCACAGTTACGGGAATGTCTCACTTAGCCACGTGAATTTTGGGGGTGGCCGTACGCCGAGGACCGCCTGTAGTTGATTTCCCTTCCCCTGGCTTCATTTTTAGGGATGACCTGCTGCTGATCCGGCCCAGCAACCAGAATCACACGTTCTCCGCCCAAGCCGTGAACCGAGGCGTGACGCTGGTGGGCGTGTGGGACGAGAGGCACCCAGGCATGGCGGATTACATTGCCGTCCCCGTGGAACACGCCATTGAGCCCGGCCTCTCTGCCCCCCTCGCCGTGGGAGACGTGGTGTGCTTCAGCACCCCCCTTGTGAGCCAGGAAGGTCAGTGGGCCAGTTGTGAGCCCAGTCCTGACAGTGTGGCTTTAAAGCATGCTTTTTTTTTTTTTTTTTTTAATGATGGAAGCGAAGTTGAGAGTTGAGGCCAGCTATCCTGTTTCTCTTTAGAAAATATTACGGTTGGAAAAGGATTAGAAAACATGTAACCCAGGAAGTGCTTTTGCACGAAAAACTTTTTAAAAGTCTGGAATTCCACTTCCAGATTCCTTCTGCCCACCAAGAAAGAAAGACTTTCTTCTGTTTTTAGGCGAAGCCGGCACCTGGCAGATCAGCCCCGGCGACGTGCTTGAGCTGGACGCAGCGAGCGGAGCGGCGTTTGCGAAGCATCCAGGGAAAGCCACCGTCTTTCACGAAATCCCCGGGATAGTGAAAACGTACCGAGAGGTAGAAGGGTGGCGTTTGTGCGTTTGCAGCATGTATGGATAAACCCCTTATTTCAATATTACGTAATTTTATTTCTGTTTGGAAACAGCTTCTGGAAGACAGGTTGGTTGGTTTATTTTTATTTTTTTAAAATTTCTTCAGTCTTCTAATCTCCCCTTCCCAGGTCGTCGTTCACGGCCCGTCGAGACTCAGCCTTCAGCTCGGTCCCAAAACCTTCCTCACCAACGCTGGCAACGCCTCCGAATTTCGGGTTTTCGTCTCCACAAGCGGCCCAACCACTCTTCAAGGTAGAAGGCACCGCTTTCAAACTGAAATATGCCGAGGGAGGAGATGAGGTGGCTAGGGGTGACCCCCAAAAGGGGGAGGGAAATATGAGCCCAGTCTGACAGTGTAGTTTTAAAGCATGTTTTGTTTCTTTTTTAAAAAGATGGAAGCGAAGGTCATCAGAGTGAGACCAGCTATCCTGTTTCTCTTTAGAAAATATTATGGTTGGGAAAGGATGAGAAAATATACATGCCTAAAGGAGCTTTGATTCTCCTGGTTGACGTAGAGGGGGGGGGGGAAACTCAGAAATATTTCTTTCAAGAGCAAAGAAGCCCTTTTGTCTCCAACCAAAGACACACTCCTGGAAAAACACAAGTGAAATGTTAAGAAATTGGGGATTAATCTTGTGTCTGTGTTTCTAATTTATAAATTTGGGGGTGGGCAAAGGAAAATACTGTAAGGAGAAGCTTCCTAACGGTGAGAGCAATCAATCAATGGAATAGTTTGCCTTCAGAAATTGCGGGTGCTCCATCACTGGGAGGTTTTTAAAGAAGAGATTGAATATCCCCTTGTCTGAAATGGTATGGGGGGGGTCTCCTGCTGGAGCAGGGGACTGGACTAGAAGACCCCCAAGGTCCCTTCCAGCTCTGTTCTGTTTGATTGATAGCAGTAATGATGAGTTGGCTAAAGATATATATAGCTCCTACACTCACGCACATCCTGAATACATCTGTGTCTTGTTTTAGGTCCCTGCGGTTCTGAGCAAATTCGGGCCATCAGCAAGCAGCTTTCTCCCGAATCCCAGCTCATCTGCCAAGTGGACTTCAAGGCCAGCATCCTGGATATTCCAGCCAGCAAAATCTTTCACATTCAGCCGGCATTTTACGCAGATAAAGGTAAAAGAGAAACTGGTGCATCATTGCTGGGGAATTGGGACACGTGGCTAATTTCCAAGTGACCAGGAATGGTGGGAGATTTTGAAGACGTGTGTGTGGGGGGGGGGTGTCTCCATCTTTGCAGAGAATACTTAAATGCGGTCTTGTAAAGCATCAGAAGCATTTCTCTTATCTTGGAGGGGAACTTTCTTTCCTTTCTTGAGCTTAAGAAGGTCTAGTTTTCTTTCTTGGACGTAAGAAAGTTTAAATTTCTTTCTTGGGCTTAAGAAAGTTTAAATTTCTTTCTTGGGCTTAAGAAAGTTTAAATTTCTTTCTTGGGCTTAAGAAAGTTTAAATTTCTTTCTTGGGCTTAGGAAAGTTTAAATTTCTTTCTTGGGCTTAAGAAAGTTTAAATTTCTTTCTTGGGCTTAGGAAAGTTTAAATTTCTTTCTTGGGCTTAGGAAAGTTTAAATTTCTTTCTTGGGCTTAGGAAAGTTTAAATTTCTTTCTTGGGCTTAGGAAAGTTTAAATTTCTTTCTTGGGCTTAGGAAAGTTTAAATTTCTTTCTTGGGCTTAAGAAAGTTTAAATTTCTTTCTTGGGCTTAGGAAAGTTTCAATGTTGGCCACTCGGCGACCCCAGCTCTCCAGTTCCCAACTCAGAGGCACACCTGTTGAACTCCATTCCGGTGTCTCCTTCAGAGTGGCTTTCTTTCCAATCAAACCCGGAATCCAGGCCTTCCTAAATCAGGTTTAAAAGAGTCTCTTTCCTTCTGGCTCCACCCAGGGCTCTACGCTTGCCTAGTAACGGTGAAAGCCCAGGCTGACGAGGACCTGTTGGCCCTCAGCACAGCCGAAGGCTTCGTGGACGTGTCTGCTGCCCTCCTCAGCCAGCCAACCCAGGAAGCCCAACGGATCACGGTTCCGTTTCTGCCCGCTTTCTTCCTCAACCAGACCGAAATTGTCCTCGGCAGCTCACAGATGACCAGTGAAATCTTGGTCTTAGGGGCCAGGAGAGTGACGGAAGCCATCGAGGTAGGTTGAATACTGACCCCAAAGAAGACATTGGATGTGTCCCTCCTGAGGATGGGGCTGAGTCTCAGTGGAAGAGCCCCTGGTTTTCCTCCAGGACGGTCCCGGATGGATCTGTACCTCCGGGATCCAGATAGACCTGGAGGACAGGAAACAGGCGTGAGTTTGTAGGTTCAAAGGTGTGACCAGGTATAGGGAAGGATCCTACTGAGATACAGGTATCTTCAAGGAAGCAAAAGGGACAGGGGAGGACAGGAGACACCATCATCTGGACCACATGGGGGAAGTCAGTGGTCCACCCCTGGAAGCACCAGACCCTTGATAGTTGGCATGGGTTAAAATTCCTGGCATCTGGAGATGTTCCTTTCACCCATCCCTGCTGAAATGTAACTCACGTCGGGTACCTTTAAGTCCTCCAGATGGACGGACTTCAGAGCCCAGGATTCCGCAGCCAGTTTTGCTGCCTGGGGCATTCTGGGAGTTGAAGCCACTTATCTTTAAAGCGGGTCAGGTTGAGAAGCCCTGAGCTAAATGGTCACCTTCTGAGGTTCGTGAGTGAGGAGATCTGACCATTTAGGGCAGGGGTCTTCAAACCTGGTCCTTTGATGACTTGTGGACTTCAACTCCCAGAATTCCTCTGCCTGTTGAAGTCCACAAGTCATCCAAGGGCCAAGTTTGAAGACCCCTGGATTAGGGCTTAGCTCCTGCTGGAACCCAGTTTGGGTGGAGTTCTCCTCAGGAAGGATCTATTTTCTTTGGCTGGACTTTTTCCCTAAGAGCTGGCTTTCTCCCGTCCCCCCCAAGGCCCATCCCAGCTCTCCGGGGGTGCAAGTGGATCGCCCCCTCCTTCTCCCGGACATGCCTGGGCTTGTCCTTTTCCCCGTCCACGTGGTCAACCTCACCTCTCTCCACGGGAGGGCAGCACCCGTCTTCGTCAACCTCTCCTGCAGCCTCACCGGGCAGAGGGTGGCCGTCCTGGTGCGGCCTCAACCAGAGCAGCATCTCGGCTTTGGTGAGCTTGAACGGAAAACAGGACTGGGGTTTTTTTTGGGGGGGGGGGGTCTTCTCCCTGGCTGTGTTCTCGGGCGCCTAGAATACGCCCCCAACACTCTCTGTCCACTTGCCCAGATCTGTGCGCCGAGGCCAGTCTCGTCCAGCAGCTGGTGGGCTCCTACCAGGTCCTCCTCTTCACCATCTTCGCCGTCCTGGCCTCCACGATGGTCATCTTTCTCAGTAGGTCAATAATGGCACATACGCCGCCAACCCCCGAAGCCGTTTAGTGGGTGCTAAGATTCAAAATCCTCCCCAGTTTGGTAGAACTGCAGAGCTGGAAGGGACCTTGGAGGTCTTCTAGTCCAACCCCCTGCTCAAGCAGGAAACCCTACATAGTGTACACCATATACCTGGAATCAACCAGCATCCTCCCCTCCCCGCAGTTTACAATGCCTTCCTGAACAGAGTTCAGATGGTGCCCGTCGTCTACGTCCCGTCAGCCTCCACACAGGACGGTGAGTTCCCACATCCAGCCTGGGTGAAGAATCCCCCAGGAATATAACCCCCAACTCCCTTTGGAGAACTTCTGAAAGCAAGCAAGGGCGGCGGGATCCCCAGTGCTGAAAATTCGCCCTTTTCTGAAACTTTCTCAGAAGTTTTAAACCGGAAGCAGAGGTCCGATTCAGCACTGGCCAGTTCCATTTTCGCAGGAGATGGGAAATATGTTCTTTTTGGGGGGGTCACTTCTCAAGCCCCCCCTTCCCTTTCTAACTAGGGTACCTCTATCCTCCGCTAAGTGCTCAGCACCATCCTTCCAGCCTAAGGAACCGGACCCAGGCCTGGCTGTGGAGCGTGCGAAGATGAGTTGTAGGAGAGTAAAACGCCTGAACTTTTATGTGGCCAGTGTCGTCCTTAAAAGGGGACAGGAAAAAACCAGGCCACTCACCGGCCTGCGGAATGTTTACACTCCGTGGTGTGACCTTTGCAGCAAGCTGAACCCCGGTGATCTCCATTTTAAACCAGATTCCTAAAGGCCTGAAAGGAATCCCACATATCTGATAACAACCCGAGGCAGGTGCAGCCAGCAACACTCAATGCACACACACACACAAAAAGCACACCAAAAAACAAAAATTGCCTTTATATCCAAAGTTTATTAAATCGTGGGTAAAGCTACAAGGACAGTGCCAGAGCCACAGGGAGAGGGTTGTTCACCCTATCCCATAGCCATCAGTGGTAGCAGGCCTTCAAAATATAATATCCTTCCATCGGTGCTCCAGAGAAGCTCAGGGTCATTGTTCACATAGTCCCACCCATCATCCTGTGCCGAGTATCCAGTGTTTAATGTTGCTTTCGCCGGAAAGAGCACCCTGCAGGGAGGAAATGCAGAATCATTAAGATCAGATGAAAGCAGGTTACATTTAACCAGGTTTCCCCCTCCCCCCTAGAAAAACCACTTTTGATCCACCTCCTATGGCCTACTGGGTCAGCTTCAGTGGGGAGAAACAGCTGTAAAACATCGCTCATCATTGTGTTGTTAAAAACACACTGCTGTTTCTCTCCCATCCTCAAAGATTGAAAAACATCACCCATCTCAGAGTCTGGCTACAATTCTCATGTCTCCCCTCTTATTTCGGACACTGGCCAGGTCAACCTTCCCACTTACCTTCTGTCAACCTTGCCTTTCCACCAGTGGGCTGGCACAGCACAGTCGAGCAGCCGACACACAACACAACTGTCTGGGCGTGACTGAAAACCGTGGTGATTTTGTAGCAACCTAGAGCGGGAAAGCAAAGCAAATATTTGGTGTTTGCTGTTGCAGCTACAAATCCTCTCCTCTTTTCCATTCCAGCCAACCCCTCCTTGCTACATCTTTAAAAACAAAATGGGTCTGAACTACTCCACTGTCCTACAGCCTGAGAGAGACCACCACAATAGCTGGAGCAATTGAGGCTCACCCACCCCTCCAGTTAGCATGTGCATCATTTCAGGGGTCTTTCTTAAAGGACCCCTGCCCAGTTCCCACGTGCAGCCCAGCAAGCAGGGAGCTGGGTCATCCCCTGCATTGCAAGCCTCCATGTTGCAAAGCACCCTCTCTGCAGCAAGAAGAGATTGCATTAAAATTTTATGCAGTCCATCACTCTTGAAGGTGGTTTTGCCCACTCCACAGACCGCCTACACACACACACACACACACGCACGCACACACAATATCCCACCCAGCAGCTCTAGCCATGAGATTTGTTGCAGATGCTCCATTTCTGGAGGTTTTTAAGAAAAGACTGGACAAGTGTTTGTCCAGAATGGAATAAGGTCTCCTAGCCTTTGAGGTCACTCACAACTCTTTGTTGTTCTGCATTCTGAGCAGGGGCTTGGGCTAGATCACCTCCAGGGCCCCTTCAGATTCTGTTAAGTGTATTCTGAGCACTTGAGGACCAGAAGATCTCCAGGGCCCTCTTCCAAGCCTTTTGAGCAGGGGCTGGACTAGATGACCTTCTGATTCTTATTATTCTCTTCTGAGCAGGGGGTTCCGGCTGGATGACCTCCGAGGCCCCCTTGCAACTCTTATAAGGGGGAGCTCGACCAGATGACTTCCTAGGCCCCTTCCAATTATGTTACTCTCTATTCTGATCGGGGGGGGGAGGAGGGAGGAGGCTGGACTAGATGACCTCCGAGGACCCCTTGCAACTCTATTCTGCATTCTGAGCAGGGGGCTCCGACTAGACGATCTCGGAACTCCCCTCGCAAACCCTCGTTTATCCCGAGCGAGGGGTGGGATGGGCTGGATGACCTCGGAGGACCCCCCCCCGGCGCCTCACCCGGGCACTTGACGTCCATGAAGTAGGAGTTGGGGCTCTGCACCAGGCGCTTCTTCTTGTGCTTCCGCTTCTCCTCCTCCGGCGAGGGGTGCAGGAGGTCCTTCGCGAGCTAGGTGGGCAGGGGGAGAGGCGAGAAACCGTGAGACCCCCGCCCCCAAAAGAGGCTTATTTTCCCTCCGCGCACTCCCCCCCCATCCCCGCCGCCATCTTGAGCCTGGCGCCCAGGCGGCGTGGCGAGCGCGTGGGGCCCGGCGGGGAGGCCGGAGAGGCCAGCCAGGCGCCCCACGAGGACCCCCCGGGCGCGGGGCCGAGGCGGGCGGGCCTGCGCGGGGAAGGCGGCGCCGGGGAGAGACGCACCGGCATCTTCGCGTGGAGGCAGCTGCGGACCGAAAGGAGGCTGGCCGGAAGGAGAGCGCGCTATATCCGCTGTGGGGTTTCCCGCGCACGGGCGGAAGTCCGTTCAGGGGGGCCGGGGGAGCCGGATGTGTTTGTGTGTGAGAGAGGGGGGGGGAGGGAGGCGCCATCCTGGTGAGGTCTAAAAAGAAGGGGCGGGTAGAAGGGGGAAGCGGAAAGGACGCCATCTTGGGAAGGGCATCCGCTTCCTCCTGCGGGCGCCATTTTGAGACGGAGCCTCCAAGGACCCTCCTCACAGCCCTGCAGGGTAGGCTGGGTTGAGGAAGAAGTTTATTCTAGTGTCATCCCAACGCACACACAAACACACACATAGTCTCTCTCTCTCTCTCTCTCTCTCTCTCTTCCTCCCTCAGCTCTTTCCTTGTCTTGAAGACTAACTAAGGCTCTAGTCCTCTTGGGTCCAAACAGGTTCCTGGCTAAAAAGCTACCTACCAGCCCCACTTGGGGTCACACCAGGATAAACCAAGTTTCTAGTCCTCTGGGATCTCAAACCTCCTCTCTTTTTTACCCCTGCCAGGCTGAGTTTGGTGCTCTGGATAGAATTTGAACTCAGGCCGGCATCTCCTGCCTAAATTGGGCTGGAAGAGTATTATTTTTATCAGGCCCAGCCAGTCTGCAGGCAGGTCTTTGGACCGTGGGAATGTCAGCCGTGCAAAACTGAGCAAGTCAGCAGTCCTCATGGAGGCCATCCTAAGGATTTGCCAAGAGAGGTTTAAGCCATCTCAGGGAGACCAAGCTGGCTTTGCTGGTGGGCAGCTGGAGAAAGGGACTCTTTTTAGAGACCCATAAAGATATATACTAGCCATTTCTATGCCAACAAACCAATTTAATCGGCAAAAATCCCAAATCAACATTTCATTCTCTCCTTCCCCCCCCCCCCCATCTCAAGCAGAAAATCCAAAAGCGGAAACAAAATTAGAAGCGTTCCAAGTAAAACAATAATTACCTAAATAAATAACATTTCAGTCAGGAGGATAAGGCAACAGAAACAATTCTATCCTTTTAAAACTCTCCTGTGATTTTTACATTTTAGGTCCTCCTTAACAAAAACAAGGGAAGTTTGCTCGGATGAAAGGATGAAAATGGATGCTTGTGCAAGACTGCCTCTTCCCCCTCTCTCCCCCTGCCGCTGGAGGTAAGGCACTCTGCCCATGCTCAATGGGGGCGCTCTTTTTCTCACGCTCTGGAGCTCTCCAACTCCTCCTTTGCTGAGGAATGAATGACTTCCCAGCAGTGGATGATGGATAGTTGCTCCTCCTCCCCATCTGAGTCAGGGGTCAGCCCCTCCCATCTTGAAGGGGGGCTGCTTCCCTGCCCAGCTGAGGGGGGGGAGAGAGAGAGGGAGGGGTTTGGGTGTCCTTGTTAGAGGAGGAGGAAGAGGAGGAGGGCACAGGAGAACTTCAGCTCCTCCTTCTCCAAAGTTTCTTCCCGGCGGATTCTCGCCTTTTTTTTTCCCCCTTGTTTTTTTCCCCCTTCCAGGGTGGGCCAGGAGCCCCTTCCCTGCAGATCCCCGCCCCAGGGAGGAGAGGGGCCAGGGGCCAAGGCCGGAGCGCCCCCTCCCCAAAAATGGCCAAGTCCTACGACCACCTTTTCAAGCTCCTCCTGATCGGAGACAGCGGAGTGGGCAAGACCTGTCTGATCATCCGCTTCTCCGAGGACAGCTTCAGCGGCACCTACATCAGCACCATTGGTGAGGAGGGGGCTTCCGCAGAGCCCCCCAGGGCCCCCCTTCCCGACCCCTCGCTCCCCCCCAACCCAAACAGAGCAGGATTGCAAGGAGCAGCCGCTGTCCGGCGTTGGGTGGGATCTTCTCCGCTCAGTTGCATCCCCCACATCAGACCCCCTGCATGTCCTGGGCTGGGGATGATGGGAATCAGGAAGAGGAGAAAACAGCTGGAGAGGGGGGGCAATTTGAGCCCCCCCCCAATCCAATATTTGCGACACTCTCCTCTTTGTAAGGATTGGGGGTGATGACAAGCTGCTGCTTTTGAGGGGGGAGATGGGGTCTTTTAGGCAGCAACTGTTCCATCCTCGGGGTTCCCGTTGGGGCAGGAGAGCCTGGGGGTGTTTAAAAAGCTACGGAGCCCCCCAAGAGGTGCAATTAAGAACAGGAACCCAGGAGGAAACGGTCAAAAGGAATATCCCAATTTTGGTTCCAATCTTTTTTAGTGGGGGGGGGGAAATAAAGAAAGAAATCCACACTTCATGAGGGCTAGAATCTTAGCTGACTTTAGCTTGGTGATGGAGCTCTGATTGGGCCCTCCCAAGATCTTAGTTCAATCAATCAGCGGACAGGGAAATGACCCCCATCCCGAACGGATTGGAGACCCCAAACTCAACCCAGGAGTAGGAAATGATTTGCTGGCGAATTAAACCTGGTGGAAACCGTGAGTAAGAACCAGTTCTCGTTTTTCTTCCCTGCAGGCATCGATTTCAAAATACGGACGGTGGAAGTGGAGGGGAAAAGGATTAAATTGCAGGTTTGGTGAGTCCCTCTGAGACAGGGCAGACTTTGCGGGGGGGTGTGTGGAAAAGAAAGGTGGATTATGGACTAGGGAGTCAGAAGGAGGGGGGGGTAAACACTGCATTTCCAAGCCAGGCTCTTTGTACCGAGTGAGGAAAATCTGGCAAAGCTTTTGTAAAACAAAAGAAGAAAGAAAAGAAGGATTTTTTAATTATTGTTTTGGAAAAGATCAGCAGCTGGATGAAAATGGGGAGCTGTTTTTAATTGCAGGAGTCTCCAAGCAGAAATTGTTGGGGGGGGTGGCAGATGGGTTAGGGAGTTAGCTGTGCATGATGGGAGTTAGATCCAACATATCGGCGAGGCTCCGACTGGGGAGGCTGCTGTCACGAGCCAATCACCAAATTGTGCCTGCAATCATTTTTTGCAAAGTAGTCCTCAACTTAACGACCAGAATCGGGACTAGAGTTTCCCATCAGTGAGCAAGGCGGTGTTAAGTGGGTGGTATTTTCATTAGGGGGGTTTTAAGCTTCTTCCCTCCTTCCCTTAAGCGAACCGTGCAGTCTTTAAGCGAATCCGGCTTCTCCCCATTGGGGATGCTGCAACGGTCGTTAAGAGCGAGGATCTGTGGTGAGTCGCTTTTTTTAAGGATGAGCGAAATCAATTTAAAAAAAAAAAAAAAGACAATTATTCCTTGCAGGGACACGGCTGGCCAGGAGAGATTCAAGACCATCACCACTGCTTACTACCGAGGGGCAATGGTAAGGGGGCTGTCCTCTCCTGGGAGACCCTCTCCCTTTGCAGGGTGGGGGGGTTCCCATCCCTGATGGGCAGCAACTGAGACATTTTGGGGGCCCCAGAAAGAAAAAAAACCCAGTTCCAGATACGCGTTCAGACAGTGAAAAAGAAATTTGCACTGCCAAGCTGTGCCCTATGCATGATAGAGGGTGTTTCCCATATAAAATTTGCTATTCAACTATTATTAAGTGGGTTAAAAGATTTTTTTTCCCTACCACGTCCAAAATATTGATGAAATAGGCATTGGATCAAAGAGGAACAACAGAAGAGGAAGAAGGGATGGGGAGGGAGAAGGAAAAAGAAACAACTAGACTTTAGTGCAGGGGTCTTCCAACTTGGCCCTTTTATGACTTATGGACTTCAACTCCCAGAATTCCCGAAGAATGGGGAAGGGGGTGTCTGAAGGTCCCTCCCCAAGACTGCCCCCCCAATAAATCCCCAATTCTGTCGTAGGGAATTATTCTGGTGTATGACATCACGGATGAAAAATCCTTCGAGAATATTCAAAATTGGATGAAGAGCATCAAAGAGGTGAGTACGAAATGGGGCTGGGGGTGAGGATTTCAGAAGGGGAAGAGTTTGGGGGGGAGGCAGTGGGAAAAACCCCAGACTTTCAGCCCCATAGAATTCCCCCCCACCCCACCCCACCCCACCCTTTGTTTTCATCCATCCTTGATTCAGATCCGGGATGACAACAACAAAAAAAAAGGGGGGGGGGGCAGGCAAAAGAAGGCCAATGCTGCCACCTGGTGGCACAAATCAGGAACAACTCCTGAACAGAGGGGAATGAGACGTCCCAAAGACCAGAACGTCTGCCCTCTACTGGCCACAAGGGGACATTGGATTGTTTTTCATGGTTTTTAAACTTTTGAATGGTTTGTTTTTAGGGCTTTTGATTTTTTTTGAAATTATTTTTGTTCGGCTTTTTTGGTTTTTTGGCTTCATTTGGCACGGGTTTTTTTAAACTTCACAAAGTGTCATATGTGAGATGAACAGGAATTCAATACATGAGTAAATATTTACCAAATAGGGTGTTGTTGTTTGATTTGGGGGTGGTGGAAGAAATATCTCTTTCACCAAAAGAGAGTCAGGGATGACCCATTTTTGGGACCTTGGCTTCATGGTTCTTCTTCCTTCCTTCCTTCCTTCCTTCCTTCCTTCCTTCCTTCCTTCCTTCCTTCCTTCCTTCCTTCCTTCCTTCCTTCCCTTCCTTCCTTCCCATTTCCCAGAATGCCTCGGCCGGCGTGGAGCGTCTCCTGCTGGGCAACAAGTGCGACATGGAGGTGAAGCGAAAAGTCTCCAGGGATCAAGCCGAGAAGGTATTGGGTGCAGGAATTGCGGGGTGGGGTGTCTGGGCATGTGCAGAATGCAACTGGTTGACTTTTAGGGCTTCCGATGGCTTTGACTCTCTTGACTTCACGACTTCCTTCCCGGCAGCTGTGCAGGGAGCACGGGATCAGGTTCTTTGAGACCAGCGCCAAGTCCAGCTTGAACGTGGAGGAGGTGAGGGCTCTGCTTGGCCTCGGGACCCCCCCCCCCCAAAATCTACACAGACACACAAGCACACCCATTTGGCTCCCAGACCCCCATGGCCGTGGTCCGGAGATCAGGCAGCCATGGCTGGATAGGTTGGGGAACCTGGGGAGGTGTTCCTGGTTTCTGCCTTTTGGGAAGGATGGGGGGGCAGCACAAGCAGTGGCTTCTCGAAGTAATGACTGACTGAAAACAAAATTATGGACACCCTGCTTTGCGCTGCTTCTTCTTTTTTTTTTTTTTTAGGCATTCAATACTTTGGCTCGTGACATTCTCCTCAGATCGATCAAGAAATCAGTAAGTGCCCCACGTGGGAAGGAACAGGGGGGTGAAAACAGCCTGTAAAATGTGGCCGACATTTTCCTCCTCCTCCCACTCTTCTTTCTTTCTTTCTTTCTTTCTTTCTTTCTTTCTTTCTTTCTTTCTTTCTTTTTCTCTTTCCTTCCTTCCTTCCTTCTCCCCTCCTCTCACTCTTCTTTCTTTCTTTCTTTCTTTCTTTCTTTCTTTCTTTCTTTCTTTCTTTCTTTCTTTCTTTCTTTCTTCTTTCTTCCCTTCCTTCTCCCCTCCTCCTCCCACTCTTCTTTCTCTCTCTCTTTCTTTCCTTTTTCTTTTTTTCCTTCCTTCCTCCTCTCTTCTTCTCCTTCCCCCATCCCCATTCTTTCTCTTTCTTCATCATCTTCATCTTCTCCCTTCCTTTTCTTCTCCTCTCCCTTCCTCCTCCCTTCCTCCTCCCCCTTTCCCCCCTTCTCTTCCTTCGTCTTTCCCATCCTGGACGTCCCATCCATGATCCAACAGCTCCTGACTCTCCTCTTCCTCCTCCAGGCGCAGCTCCCCAAGAGGCCTCTGGAACTCAAAGCCACCCCGAAAAGCAGCTCAAAGTGCTCCGTGCTGTAACCGGCAGCCAGCCAGTTCGGAAAGGCCCCATGGCTCCTACTCCATCCCTCGCCATTTTGGCTTGGGTGGGGCTGTTTCTCCTCTCTCCCCCCACCCCTCCTTCTCCTACCCTTGAGACGAGTTGTCTTGGGCTGGACCCTGGAAGGACTGGGACATTGTTTCCCTAACTTCTTCTTCTTCTTCGTCATCTTTTGCCATTTGGGGACTCTGCCTTTTAATTTTTGCACTAGCAGAAAGGGAAGGGGAGTTTGGGGAGGGAGGGGGGGTCCCTGAGCTGAGGGGGAGGTGGGAAAATTGGGGAGGGGGTGATAATAACTGGGTAAGTCACTCCCCCCTTCCCCAAATCCTTGGATTCGCCAGACCTTTTGAGGCAGCGTTTGTCAAAGTTGGCCATTTTAAAATAGGTGGACTTCCAACTCCCAGAATTCTGGGAATTGAAGTTCACCCATCTTAAAGTTGATTCAGTTGAAACATACGGAAGCCCTGTAGCTCTGCAGTGCCTTTAACAGATGTAGGAAAGAATCAGATTAGGAATCTCTCAGCAGGAGGAGAAAAATCCTTTTTTAAAAGTATATAAGTATATCTATATCTATATCTGCCTGCTGGGAGTCTCTGCACTTTGGATGGGTGGGAACCCGGAACGCGACTGGCAGAATCCGGCACCTGGGAGGAACTAGCCACAGGTTGGACCAAATGCCTTTTATAAATCTGTGAAGACAATTAAATATTTGCAGTTTTTTTCCGAACAGTGTTGTGTTGAAAAGTAATTTTCTGGGGTTCGGCAAGAGCAGGGGGGCAAAGGGGAGGGAGGAACAGCCATGGGGGGGGGGCTGTGAGGGTGTCAAAGGGGAGTTTCTATCCTGACCCCTTGCAGAGAAAGGGAGAGACCGCTCGTGTTCCAATCCACCTTGCAGGATTGTTGTTATGGGGAAATAGGAGGGAGGATTATGTATGTGGGACGCCTTGAGTTACTGACAAAAATAATAAAGGCAGCAGAAAAAAAAATCAAAAAAATATGGGTATTCATCTTTCTGTACATGAGTGTTTAGTACATGCTGATGATAGATAGATAGACAGACAGACAGACAGATAGATAGATACAGGGCTTTTTTTCTCATTGAATGCCCAGAATGGAGTTCTGGCACCTTTTTTGGATGGTACCTTGTAGGGTAGGCAAGGTGGGTTGTATGACGTGTGTGAGTTCCAGCACCTTTTTTTTTTTATAGAAAAAAGCACTAGATAGACAGACAGACAGACAGACAGATAGAGATATATATCGGATAGAAATGCAGAGTGCATAGATGATAGAGATAGATGTATAGGGAGATGGATGATAGAAGTATCAGATGATTGATAGATAGATATATGGACGGATGGACAGAGGAATACGTGGAGGGATAGACAGAATCAGATAGAAATATAGTGGATGGATGGATGAATGGATAGATAAGTAGATACATAGATGGAGGAAGTATATAAATATATAGGAATACATTCTCTATTCTCCTCTTTGTCCCGGCTGCAGTCCAAGACCGGAAGTGCCCAGGCGCAACCGAACGAACTGAGCCCTTTGCGCTCGGCTCGCCAGCCCAGCCCGCGGTCGCTCGCGACGGGTTCTGCCCTGCGCGTGCGCAGAGCGCCGCCGGTCCCTCTTCCCACAATGTACCGCGTGAGTGAGGCGGAAGCGCCGGGCGAGGATGGGGCCAAGATGGCGCCTGGCGTTGGGGGCGCTTTTGTGGTTTCTGGTCGCCCCTTCGCGGTAAGGGATTCCTCGGGGGGGGGAGCCAGAGGGGGGGGTCAGGGGGTCCCCTTTGTGTCCTTTTAGGGGGAGGGAGTCTTTTTCTCGAGGGCCAACGCTCCCCAGCCAGCTGCCCCTGGGTTGGACTACAACTCCCATGTTGCTCAGGCGGGCCCTCGGGACCACGGGAGGGGATGATGAGAGGTGTAGTACAAGGCTTGAAAAAAGGTGGGGGCATTGAGCCCCTTGCTAGGCCCTCTCTGCGCCTTCTCTTGGAGGCTGGGGCTGATGGGTGTGATAGTCCAGCCAACCCAACCGCCCCGAGCAGATTTATTCCTGGAAGGACTTGTGACTTCAAACGGTCACTAAATAAACGGTGGTAAATTGAGGACTGCCTGTATTTATATTTATTTGCATTTGTTGCAGGCTTCAGGACTGCTAAGGTGGCAGGAGGTGGGGGGGGGACAGGACAGGGGAAGCCTTTATCTTTTTAAATATATATAATATATAATATATAGATAGATAGATATTAGGAGATTGATTTACCTCCCATGCAGTGTAAATTTAATTAACGAATCAATAAATACCAACGAATAAATCTTGGGGGTCTGGGAGGGGGCTGCCTCCCGCTTCCTCGCCTACAGCTGACCTCCCTTGTCTCTTTGCCTGCTTGCAGATCAGCCGAGGGAATAGCTGAGAACGATGCCAAAGCTCCAGGTAAGGATTTCACACTGTGGTCTCGGAGTGGGAGAGGAGGGGGGGAGCTCCAAAAAAAGGAGGCATTTGTCATCCCATCGTCCTGTTCGGCTTTCCTGCAGCCAGTCTGACGGGCACAACTCCGTGTTGGCGGAGGGAGGATTTCGTGGTGACCACGCAGTGCGCTCCTTGCACAAGTTTTCAGATTGTAAGTGGGGCTGGGGGTTAGTTTGGGGGGGGGATACCTTGGCAGGGGTTGGGGGGTGAAGGATGAAAGGAAGGAGGGGGAGGGCTGGGCACGGAAGTCTACAAGCTCTGTGTGGTTCTGAATCGTAGGCCTCCGTTGTGGTTGTTGTTTCTGGACATGCTTCATGAAAATGCATCCCATACAGAGAAGCAACAGGCTCCCTCATGGGGGGATACAGGTAGTCCTCAGCTTACAACCACAACGGTAGATTTTTTTCCCATCCCAGTTTGGAAGAGGTTGAGAATTGAACCTCCGGCAAATCAAATGCTCGGCGGAAAAGACGACTACCGGGTGGCCGTTTTGGGTCCTTAAAAGCCGTCTCTTCTCGCTTGTAGAAAACCATGTCTGAATGCGGCGTCACCGGTTTTGTTGAGCAGATCAACTGTGGGGTTTCCAAGAAGGGCGAGTTCAAGAGGTGGGTGCCCCGTTTGGGATGGGTGTCTCAACCTTGGCAAGCTTTAACAGGGGTGGACTTCAACTCCCAGGATTCCCCGTGCCAGCAGTCCACGTGTTTTAAATTGTGGCTGGGGGATTCTGGGAGTTGAAGTCCATATATCCCAAAGCATTCTGGCTGGGGAATTCTGGGAGTTGAAGTCCACCCATCTTAAAGCATTCTGGCTGGGGAATTCTGGGAATTGCAGCCCATCCCTCTTAAAGCAGGCTGGCTGGGGGATTCTGGGAGTTGAAGTCCACTTGTCTTATGCCTACTGACTGGCAGTTCCCATTGCAAGTAGCTGTATTTTCCCCTCCCCCCAAGACACCTCCTCAGGGCTGTGAAACAAATCTAGAAGTGAGCAAGAACTGGGATCCCTCTGTCATCCCCTCCTAGGCTTGGCAGAGACCTGCAAGGTCCTCTAGTCCAGCCCCCTGCTGTGGGTTTCCTCCCCCCTTGCGGAGCTGCTGTCATCACGGCAATTTTCTCCCCGCAGTTGCCGCTCTTTGGAAATGGAGACGCGGATCTTCTGGAACTTTGAGGGTGCCATGCTGGGGACCGCTGCCGTCTTCGCCCTGCTGGTGGTCTGCCGCCAGCGGGTGCTGGATGGGAAAGCCTTGGAGAAAGTCCGGAAACAGATCGAATCTATTTAGCTTCGGTTGGGGCAGCAAAGCGGAGGGGGACAGACCCAGACTCGCCGCCCGGAGGAGCAGTCTAGCATCACCTCCTCTCGTTGAAAATTCCCCTCCCACTTTCAACTAGAGGGGAGGGGGTGGGCTGTACCCCCAGGGACAAGTATCGCTTCTCTCTTCAGGAGGCTGGCAAAAGCCGGGGTGCATCCTTTGCTTTGAGAAAACCCATGGCATTTGGGGCCTCCTCCTCCCAGATCCTGCGTCTCTTGGTGTTTTGAATCATGAAATTCGAACTCGCTTCCCGGCCAGGAACTTCTTCCCGTCGCTGTCCTTTGAGCCTCGGGGCTAGAAGCGCGTCGTGCGAATGGAACGCAAACCCCTTTTAATCCCTTCCCTGTCCTGAATCCCGTTTTCTCCTATTTATGATTAAAGGAGTTCTCCTCAAGTGTCTAACCACGGGATTTGCAGTTGTTGTGAAGTTGCGGATTGTGGGTTTTTGTGTGTGTGTATGTAAGCTTCTGGAGCTGGTCCGCTAAAGGGATTTCTTGTGGGTTGAGAACTGAGCAATGTGTAAAGTAGTATTTAAAGCAATGTGAAAGCAATATTTCTCCGTGGAAGGTAGGTGGACTTTAACTCCCACAATCCCCCAGCACAGAATTCTGGGAGTTGAAGTCTGCTTGTTTTTAAAGTTGCCAAGGTTAAGTGGTGTGTGTGTGTGTGAGAGAGAACCAAGCAGTTCCTTCCAAACCAATTATAAATGCAATCTCTGCTAACTGTGGTTAGTTTTATCCTGGCTTTTATCTTTTGCAAACTGGTGCAAACTGGTTGCGTTGACAAGTTGATGGCTTGGGATCAACTCAGAAAATATGTTTATTCTAGAACCCAGATAAGTGTAGGGGTGTGTCTGTGTGTGTGTATCCAGATTATAATTTCAAACCATGTTGGGTTGCTCAGAGCTGGATTCGAACGACAGACCAAGTTAGAATATCTTTGGTTTATGGGCAGCCTTAAATGTTTAGGGGAGCCTCGCCACCCCGAGTGGGAAGACCTGGCGGGCCGCACCTGCGTTTTATTCAGAATTAAAAGCGTCCAGATTGAGAATTCCCCCCCCCCCCAAATCCGATTTCAGGCCCAGCCCAGATGGAAGCAAACTCAAAAATCCAATTTTCCCCCGTTTCGGAAAAGTCTCCCCTCGAACGGAAGGAAATACACTCTAGACATGCTCAGGAATTCTCCTTTATTCCTCCCAAAGCCTGACTCCAGGATTCCAGCAAAGGGGGGGGGGCTCGAGTCAAGCTCTCCTCACCCCCCTACCCCCCCACCCACCCAAAGCCCCAGAGCTGACAGATTGCAGAGAAGCAGAAAAGGCAGTTGCGGGTTGCGTAAGGCGCATCTCACAAGCATTTGAGAAGGAAAGCGTTGCAGCTGGCTCTCCGGGGACAGTCACAGAGTTTGCCGATGCGGGCGCCTTTCCGGATGGCGCAGGCGTCGCCGAAGGAGCACTGGAAGGGAGGGGGAGAGAATGAATCCCTGTCCTTTCCTCCCTCCTTCCCCAGTCTGTGCCTCCCCCCTCCCCTCCTTTCTTGAACTGGAGAGCCCTTTTGCTCTTCACATGACTGGGGAACTCCATTCTCTTAGGCTCAAGCCAGAGCCGGTTGGGACAATGGCTAGAACCCAGAGCCGAGTGGGGTCAGACTAGATGACCTCTGGAAACTTAAGATTTGTGCTCAGACCGATCTTGGTTTTTTTTCTGGGAATAACCTTCGGCTCTTCCACAGAATATGTGGGGGGGTGAAAGTCACGTGGATACCCACCCTTAATTTATGGGGGGGTCCCCCCTTCCACAAATACCTTGGGTACTTGGTTGAATTTCTTTTCCCAAGCCGAGACCTTCTTATGCTGCAGTTTTTCCAGCACTTCCTGCAGTTCATCCAGCTGGAAGAAGTCGAAAACGTTGCAAACAGTCTTTAAGACCTGCCTATTTTCCACGCTGCGTAACATGCTCAACCGGGGTTAATGGGCTGGGGGGGGGTGCTCCAGGGGTCTTATTTTCTGAGTCTTAGGTGGGCTTCACCTAAAAGGTGCCCAAAATCTCTCCGGTCATTTGATTCAGAGTCTCTGAAGCTTATCCCGGCTCAACTAACTAAGAAGGGAACGAAATATTTTCCGGTTTAAAATATATATATATATCCCTCAATGATGGGATTTATCCTCATTGCTAAAACGGATTGGAATAATCAGGGAGGAATACTGGATTACAGCACCCATCATCCCCTTGTTGCTATCCAGAAGGCAGAAGGCTTGACCTATCCCTCTGGACGAGATGTGCAGCCCTGCTCTTCAACGCATGCTGGCTTAATGACGGTCTGTTCTCCCATCTTATTTTCGTGGACTTTGGCCGCCGTTCCCTGTTTTACACATCTGGGCATGGGGCGCCACCAATAAGGAACCAGGTTCCTTGGTCTGTTTTATTTTTTTTGGTCCTTCAGAGCAATCCATGCCACATCATTCTTTTTTGGGGGGGTTCTCCCCTGCTAACCCCCCTCCCGCAATCGTCCCGCTACCAATCCTCGGTTACTCACCAGCTCCTTCTCGTGCGCCGGGTACGTGTGTTTGAGTGGCAATTCCGACGTCGCTTGGCCCTGGACCAGGACGAAAAGGCAGAGAAGAGCCACGATGCCCAAACGGACCCCAACCATGGTTAGCATCTTCCTGGGCAAAGATCCCACCGAAGAGCAACGTCTCAACCCTGCCGGGAGCTGTCCACAGTGCTGAAAGCCCAAGCACCTTCGCCAGCTTCACGCCAGGAAGTGGAACTGCACCCGTTTCTCCGCCAGCCCACGCTATCCTCCCCGGGGACGGAGGGAGAGGGGGGGCTGTCTTCAAGGGCGGAAGATGGAGCACCCCTAAACCTGGTTTCCTGGGGAATCGGCTCCTGGCGGGGGCGGGAAGGAGCCAAGGATCAGCCAAGGATACTTGGCCAGCTGCGCCTGGATTTTAAGGCTGGCTTGCAAGGGGGGGGGTTGTTGCTCCAGGCAGGGGCTGCCAATCAAGACGTTCTCCGGAGGGTTTGAATGCATTTGCTGGGAAATTAAAACAGTTGACTTTGATTCATCCGTCTCTCTGGACGGGGCCCAGCGAGCGGCATCCAGTCAGGCCGGGAGTTGACAGCTCATCCAATAAAAGCTTTGGTCTTGATGGGCAGATCTAATATCCAAACTATTTTTGGGGGGGATATTATTAGCATTAATCAAAAGCTGCGGCACTAATTGGCCGCAATGGAGCCTGGCGTGCATTCTCGCCTCGTGGGGTGTTTTTTTTTTCTTTTTTCCTCTTTTTCTAGTTCTCCGCTTTTTCCCTTTCATCTCTCACCGAAGAAATGGCATCCTGGGGGGTGGGTTTAGGGGGGGGGGGAAATGACAATTCCCTGAGCGGGCAGGAGAGGCGTCTTTTAAGAAGAGCTTGACGAATGGATATAACGCCGAGCGGAGGGAAAGGAGGGCAGCGGGTGTTTGGAGCAGGTAGACTGCTCCTGGACAGGGAGGCTCGATCTAGCCACCAACTGCTGGGATGCATTCACGGTAATGCTAGTCTGCAAGTCAGATAAAGATTTGAGATTCTTTGTGACAACCGGCGGGTGGGTGGGTGGGATTCAGCCAGGCAGAGGAATTCTGGGAGTTGAAGTCCACAAGTCATCCCAGGGCCAAGTTTGAAGACCCCTGGTTTAGCTTATTGGAGAAAGCAAGTTGGCGTTGGAAGCTGGCTTGATTTACGATTTGCATCCTTGTTCCTCTGCACTTCCTGAAATGCACCTGACTGATGGGGATGGTTTTTTTCACCCTTGGCAGGCGCTGCACCTGTTGAACATCTTTTTAACTTGCTCGGCAAACCCAACAACCGAATTAAAAAAAACACAACCCAGCTGTCTAACTCAGAGCAGGAAAAATACACCGTATTTATAATTCTAGACGCGAAGGCGCAAAGAGGCCTGGGGAACGGCGGCTGTTCTGCCTGCAAACCGGCTCCCTCTTCCTGGAATTAATTTTTCTAAAAGCTTTGGGGCCGAAGAGGAATTTACAGCCTAAGGAATGCCAGACCTTGGATTCAAAACCCGGCCAGCCCTCCTTGTAAAGTTTCAGTTTTAATCTTTCTTGGATGGCCAGGCTTGAGATATAGATGTCTGCCATCTTCAAGGTCTGGGTTGTTGTTGTTTTTTAAATGAGATTAATGCAAGCAATTTTGAAATGTGAGCTGCCGTGGCAGTGTCCCATCTTCCATAAAAAAAACTTAATTTTAATTTTAAATTCCCCCCCCCACACACACACACTTTGGCTTTGCTCTAATTCCTTGCCATGTTGGTATCTCCCTAGCCATGTGCATTCAGTGAGATATATGACCGTTTTTCCGTTAAGTGGAGGATCACCTATAATTCCAAGTGTGCTAAAAAAGATGAATTTGAAGAAGGATGCCGACGGTGAAGGAAGCGGGCAGAAATTTCAGCCCTTTGTCTCAAATTCTTCTGGTTCAACAAACCCACCCTGGTTTTTTGGGGGGATTTTTTGCGCTCGCAGTCCCAAAGGCAATGGCTTTAAAATATGAATTTGGGGGATGAAAGTTTCTTGACGTGAAATCTCCCGGCAGGAGATTTGAATTCGTAATCCTCCCGCGGACGACACATCCCAGCATCCTTCCCCCTGACATTGCTGGGAATTATTGTCCGGCATGTTTTAACCCCTGAACTGTACCCCTGGAACCCGGAGCCCAAAATCTGAGACGGTTTCAAGAACGGATAAATATTTGCAGGATGGGAATTGTAGTGACGTCAACAAATCTTGTTAAAGAAAAATCCGAGAATCTGGCTTGGAAAGGAATCATTTTTGGGTTTGAGACAGCCGGCAAGGGTCCGTCCCTCAGATGGGTTGCTGCTTGTTGACAAGGAGGGGGAAAAAAGGCCCTTTGCGCATGCTCTGGGGTACTCTTTCCTGATCGTTTCAGAATTCAGCTTCCCAGCTCCAAAACTTTGCAGTTAATGTTTGCCAGGAGGTCTCATATCTCATCAAGGTCAGGCCTGGTGACTTTTCCTTGCCGATAACCCTTCGGTTGGGTCTGGGGGTCCTTCCAGGGCTCGGTGGCTGCCCCCTGGGTTGTCTCTCCCACCTCGGGGAGACTTTTCTCATCCTTGCTGACGCTGGTGGTGTGAAGCTCCGGAGGCAATTCTGCTCGCACGTGGGGCTGTTCTGGAGGATGCAGGGCGGACGGTGTCCCTGGCTCAGAGGACCCCCTTTGGGTCAAGATATTTCGGGAAAGGACTGGTGGAGAAGACACGGGTTATTGAAAGGGGGATACCTTTCAATTCTACTCAGTTCAGTTCTGCATTCTTTAGTATTTTCTATTCTATAATATTTTCTGTTCTGTATTGTTTATACTATTGCATTTTATGTCTTATCCTATGCTATCCTATTGTCTATTCTATTATACTTTATGTATTGTATTGTATTCTATTCTCTATTTTCTATATTCAATTTTCTATTCTTCATTTCTCTATTCTACTCTGTTCTATTCTACTATTCTTCATTATTCTATTCTATTCTACTCTATTCTATTCTACTCTATATTCTATTCTATTCTATATTCTATTGTATTCTTTCCATTGCATTCCATATTTTCTAATTCTGTTCTATTCTATTTTCTATTCTATTCTATTCTTATTTCTATTCTATTCTATTCTATTCTTATTTCTATTCTATTCTATTCCATTCCATTCTATTGTGTTGCAAAGTTGTGGTGATGAGGCTTACCTCCTGACAGCTCGAGGTCCTCTCTGCTGACCTCTGACGTGCCATAAAACGAGGCACAAGTGGGCCAGATGAAAAGGCCGAAGGAGACGAGGAGGATCTGGAGAGGGAAAGAGACGAGGATGATGGGAGGGGGAACCCCAGAGACCCAGCGCTTGAAGACTGAAGACCACCTACCACAAGACAGGTGCTGGTCTGGGCAGTCTTACTGGATGTCTCTCTCAGGAGTCCCTGCAGCTTCCGTAACTGGTCCAGAAGTGACCTGCAAGAGAAGTCAAAGCTTGGAGGAGCCCAGACAGAGAGTCCTGGACACTGACTGGGACGCAGTCACAGGCCAGGCACGAGGCTGGCAAGGAGAGCATGGGGTCTGGAGTTGGGGATGCATCCTGGACTCCCAACTTCTGGGCAGGAAGGTCTTTTCCCAGCCTTCCTCTTCACTCTTAAGCTTTCTGCTAGGAAGGAAGGAAGGAAGGAAGGAAGGAAGGAAGGAAGGAAGGAAGGAAGGAAGGAAGGAAGATAGGTGGGAAGGGAGGGAGGCAAGGAAAGAAGGAAATGGAGGGAGGAAGGAAGATAGGTGGGAAGGAAGAGAGGAAATGGAGGGGGGGATGAAGGAAGGAAGGAAGGCACATGACAGAAGGAAGATGATTGAGAAGGAAGGAAGGGATGAAGGAGGAAGGAAAGAATCCTGTGCCAATGCCCCAAACCCGAAGATTATTTTAATAGGACACATGATGGAAGACAGGAAGTCTCCATTGTTTGCTCCTGATAGAATTGTGAGTCTGGTCAGCATCTCTGGGGTCTTGGGGGGGGAGGCACAGCCAAGAATGACCGAAGGCAGAGCAAAACTGGCCCCCAACTCACTCTTTGTGCTTCTCCAGCTGCTGGACCTTCTTCTTGAGATGCTGGTTCTGCGCCGAGCAGGCATCCACCCTGCCAGGAAAACAGAGATGCCCAGATGGGTTCTCCTTCCCAGCTCCCCAAATTCCCTGGACTACAGTTCCCATAGCACTCTAGCTGCCGTGGCTGATGGGGAAACAGTTGCCCCTTGCTCTCCGTGAGGACTTTCGCTTCCTGGAGCTCCGAACGAGGAGTCCCAGAATGCCCGGCTAAGGGCTGTGGCTGATGGGAATCGGAGTGGCTTAGTGTCCCTGTGGCTGAGGGAAAGGGGATCTGGTATGCTGAAGAGATCCCTCTTTCTGCCAGGTTTCGCAGAGCCACGGATCCTCTTCAAACCACGATGGCGCGAGCGTGCCAGGAAAAAGACTAGCCAGCACCCAAACCGCCATCCCGTCTCACCGGCTCTCCAGATCATCCAGATATTCCTTCTTGCGTCGACGGCTGTCCTGGGCAGACTGCTTGTTGCGAATTTTCCTCCTTATTTTCTTGAGGATCCGCTCTTCCACCTGCGGGGAAGGTGCAGAGAGCTGGGCTGAGGGTCCCGTACAGCCCTCGTTTCCCTGGCACAATTCACAAGACCCTCCCAAGGGCGAGTTTTCGTTCAACTGGACCCGCCTGGCTGTTTTCTGATGACCGAAAGTCCTGCTTCGGAGTCTGTTCCTAGCTTGATCTGAAGGAAAAGAGGGGCTGCCAGAGCCCCCTTGAAGCCAGGGGATCCCCTCCTCTCATGGGGTGTGAGGAGGAGCTTGAGAAACGGAGGAAAAGATGCTGACTAGGGAAGAATTCAATAAGAGACAGGTGAGCCCTCAGCTGCATAATGGGAGGAGAGGATCAGAAGGGACCCTCTCTAGTTTCTCAGACTGTAAAAGAGGCAGGCGGGAGATGTGTAATTTCAGACCTGCAAGCTTCTGGCAAAGTAGCCTTGCAATAAACTAGAACTATCTGCGTGGTGAATGGCCTTGGGAGACGGGGAAGAGGCGCTACCTGGAGAACAGAGAAGAGATTGCTGAGCCCTCAGCTGTGCAATGGGTAGAGAAAGAAGCACAGAGCGAACCGTCTTCTAGTTTCTCTGACTGTAAAAGTGACGGTGGAAGATTTGTACTTTCAAACTTGCAAGAGCCTTAAATTACAGATAATCCTTGACTCACAACTGTTCGTTTAGAAACCGTTCAAAGTTATAATGGCACCGAAAGAGGGAAGCTGATGGGGGGTGTCCCCGTCTCTTTGCCCAGCTACCCACCTGCGAAAGGTGGGCGACATCGTGCAGTAAGACGCCCTCCTGGCTTAGCAGACGTCTCTCCTCCTCCGTCAAGAACAGGCCAGGATGCGGGAGCTGCTACGGGGGAAAATTGATCAGCGGAGAAACCCCCTTTTCCTACCACATTCCGGGGATTTGGGGCTTGGAGACCCATCTAGGTTTGATGACGGGGACAGGGAGGAAGAGGATGTCCTGTTATCTCAGTTTCCAGGGTTTTTCTTCTGCCGGAGTGGACAAGAGGGCTTCTGCCCATGTGCTAAAAGTCTTTCCAACTCGTTAGAAGCCATTAGAAAGCGGCCTCAAAATGAAACCGATGGCGGCTCCTGGTGGTGAAGCAAAGGAATTACAGAGCCACTTCGCTGCACCAATAGGGAATTTTTGTGACCTATAATTGGCCGCTGAGGGTCACGTGATCCTTCTCCATCCTTAAAAAAAAGTTTTCAAGACACATCCAGAGTTTTAAAGAAAGCCCCCAGCCTCAATAAAATTACAGTTACAGAGTCTTCCGGGATATAGAGCTGGAAGGAAAGAATGGCCACTCCATTGCACGAGTGATTGGTGATTGGACCTGTGCTCAGCCTGCATTTTCTAACTGAGGCATTCTGGGAGTTGAAGTCCACCTGCCTTAAAGTTGCCAAGTTGCAGAAGCAACTTTGGCAGGAGTTTCCAGATGCAAACTTTTGTGTGTGTGTATGTGTGTGTGTGTGTCTCCTAGCCCACTGGTGTGTTGCTGGACTGGATCCCTACTTTGTATTCCAGAATATTTTAATCTACCCCTTATCGTATCTTACCTGCTCCGTGGGAACCTCGGCTGTGTTGAAACGGCTCACCCCATCCAAACAACCGAGTGATGCTTGGCTAGCAAGGCAGATGGGTGGGTGGGTCTCGGGGGGGCTCCAGCTCTCTGGAAAAAAAGCCCCCAAAGAATAATCCACATTGGTGTGGTTGCAAAAGTCAGGAGAAAGACATGGCTTGCCTGTAAAAATCCTGATTAAATGAAATTAGATTCTCTTGGGTGTCATTTAACCTTAGCTTTAATGGCTCCTTCATTGACAGTCCACTTCTGTTTAAAATAATAATAATATAGGAGGCCATCCTTGACTTAACAATGGTTTGTTTAGTGACCGTTCACAGTTACAATGGCGCCGAATGACCCTTTTTCACACTTACGACCGTTGCAGCATCCTCACGGTCACAGGATCAAAATTCAGCCACTTGGCAACTGACTTGCATTTATGATGGTCGCAGTGTCCCGGGTCACATGATCCCCTTTGGTGACCTTCTAACCAACCAGAGTTGCTTAACGACCGTGTGACTAAGTTAACTGCTGCAGGGGTCCACTTAACGGCCAGGAAAGTTTCCTTCCTCTGAGGGTGCTTACCGAGAGGGTTGGGGTCCTCCAAGGTTCCCGTGTCACAGAGTACCTCCAGAAGGATGGCGGGCGATCGGTCGGGAGGAAGAGGCTCCTGGAAAATGCCGCCGTCGCTCTTGGGAGACGCCGCGGAGCTCCTGGGAAAGAAGACCTCGTTCGGGTTGATCCGAAGATGCAAAAGGTCTTCCGGATCGTCGTCAGGAAGACGCTGAATGAGGAACAAAAAATGGGATGAGTTTTGGGTTGAGGTGGGACCCGGGCTGAGATTTGAGTGACAGATGGGTTGAAATATCCGGCTGATTTTTGAGGAAATCCCTACAGCCATGATCAAACCACGGATTTATCTAGGTTTATATCCTGGGCCGGATTCAGAAGGGCCACATCTACTCAACCTGACCTCTGGGAAGATATGCAGAGTCCCTTTTTTGTTTTTTTTTAAAGGCAATTGAGAGGTCCTGGCAATATAATAAGGGTAGTCTTTGACTTAATGGCCACAATCAAGACCGAGATTTATGTCGTTAAACAAAAAAAGTCGTAAGATGGGGCATGTCTCACTTAAATGAGTCACAATAAGTCAGCCATGCCTGATTTGATTGTTTTCTTTTTTTGCTCTGATTCTGATTAAACGAAAACCACAGCAATTGTTTCGTGAATCCGGGCGGTCGTTAAATGAAACCAGCTTCCCCCATTTATTGTCATTGTGGAAAGCTGCCTGGGTAGGTCTCAAATAGTGACCCCGGGATGCTGTAACCATCATAAATACACGCTAGTTGCCATTGATCACCTGACTTTGAGGATGCTGCAGGTGGTCATAAGTGTGAGGATTTTTTTCCTGTGCCATTGTAACAACGAATGGCCGCTAAATAAATCGAGGACTACCTGTACGATTCTGTGTCTTACCTGGAGCTGGCCAGCTGGACAGTTCCTGGATTTATTTGGAAAACAGCCGTAGGGATGGTCTTGAAGCAGGAGGCTGACTCTGGAGTTTTCTACAGCGTGGCTGTTTCCGAGGTCTGGATCCTGTGGACCCTCGAAAATAATTTTGAAAAGATTGGTGCTGTCAAAATCCATGGCAGAAACACCGTAAAAAGAGTTTGTGCACTTCCAAATTCTTTTAGGTTAATCTTTGCATCGCCTCCGGCATCCAGCCCTGCCAGCTGAACATGATGCCAACATCTGGAATAATGTCGGATAATCGATGCAACAAGCTGGATCAAACGTCCTATTCAGGATCCCAAAGTTGCTCCTTTTTGCAGGATGCTGGGCAGCCAAGAATTAACAAACAAACAAAACAAAAATCAATTTATATGCAGTCACAGGAATGCAAAGGACAACGGGCATAAATCCACCAAGCTGCAAACTCTTCAACTCTACAAATATTTGCCAGGGATGGGGTTTTTTGTCTTCTAAAGGAACCCCTAAATCACATGCCTTTTTGGTTACGATTCTCAACCCTTGCAAATAAAACAAAATGAAATAAAATAAAATAAAATTAACCCTTCGTCCCTGATCTTTGTCCTCTTTGTTTTTGCAAAGCGGGTGGCCAAGGAGAACAATGTCCCGTTTTGTCACCCAACAAGGAAGTTCTTTCTTTTTTTTAGTTTTAAAACTCGTTTCTCCACTACAGGATCTTCAGTATCCTGAAACTGCCTTTCCGGGACCAACCCAGAAGCTTTTAGCCAATTAAAAGGGTTAAAATAAACGTCATGGACCAATAAAACTTATTTGCTGGGCTCAGAAAGGTCGAAAAAAAAAAATCTCCCTCAAGGAAGTTTGGCTTGCACGATTAGGTTTTGCCCAGTGCACAATGGGCTGGAAGCAAATCCTGTTTGCCTGCAATAGTAGAATAGAATAGAATAGAATAGAATAGAATAGAATAGAATAGAATAGAATGGAATGGAATGGAATGGAATGGAATGGAATGGAATAGAATGGAATAGAATAGAATGCAGAATGCAGAATGGAATAGAATATAGAATATGGAATGGAATGGGGTTTTGTGTGTGTGTGTGTGTTGCATTTTAACTCCTATAACTCCAGCTGATTAGTAAATGAGGAATGGCGTTTTCTAGAAGAGGGTGGGGCTCTGACTCATCCGCCCCGCCCATGCTGCAACACTTTGTTGCGGCGCCCTTTGATCTCCCTCCAAGTTCCTTTCGCACGTGACAATCAACCCAGCTGAGCATCGCAGCTGAAAGCCCCCCCCTTTTTTTAATTTTTCCTGCATTGCGCCTTCCCGATTGGCCAGGCCTGCCTTGTCCGTCTTGGCATCCGCCAATCGGGACGCGAAGAAGAGCCTTCGGGTGCCGCCTGTTTCGAGCCTGTTTTTTTGTTTTTTTTTTAAATGTCGCCCTCGCCGCTCCTCCCCTTTCGAACGCCCAAAGCGCGAGAAGGAGGTTCTTCCCGCGCTCCCATTGGCCGAGCGGGAAACTTTTCTGCCCCCGGCCGCCACGCCCTTTCGAACGCGAGGCCGAGAAGCCCATTGGCGGGGGCGAGCTGGTTTCCTTCCTCTGTTTGGGCCCGGCCACGCCCCTTTGGAACGTCCGGACACTTTCCGAACGGCGCGGAGTTGGGGGGAGGCAGCGGAGGCCGTCGGTGAGTTGGGGGTCTCCCGCAGAGGGGGGGAGGGTCCCCCTTCCCCTTTTGGGAAAGGGGAATAGGGTCATAAAGGAGCCTTAAACCATAATTGCACCTTCCAGGTGGGCTGGGACCCCCAAGTCCCATGTTCCTCAGCCGCAAAGGAGGATGGGGATGGTAGTCCTGCTTCTGTAAGACCAAGGGGGGCGGGGTTGCTTTGGTGGTCTCTCCAAACACCAGCTAACCCCCTTCCCTGTTCCTCTTTGGAGCAAGACCCCCGGGACCATACATATCAGGTGTGTATCTCCTGTGTGCTGGACTATAGGGCCCATCATCCCCACAGAGGAAAAAGGGGAGGGGTAGTAGCCAGGCTACCCCCCACCAACTGACCTCCTTCCCTGTTCTGCTTTAGAGCAAGACACCCCACCCCGGGACCCTCCATTTTAAGAGTGTATCTCCTGGTGTGCTGGACTACAGGGCCCATCGTCCCCGGAGGGGAGGAGGTGGAATGTTGTGACCAACCATATCCTGGAGTTAACTTCATTTCTGCAGAGATGAGTTGCTGAAGCAGTTTTGCTGCCTGGATGTGTTTTCCTGCTGGGGGTTGATGGAACTCACTGCCACTGGATTTATTTTTGGGGGGGTTGTCTAAACCAGGCCTTGGGGATTGTTTCCTGAGAGGGTGAGGAACTTTTTTGTGTCTCTGATTCATGTATTTAGGATGGCAGCCTCAGAGCTGGGCTTTGATTTTGAGCTGGCAAATAAATTTATACATTTAAATGTAAGATAAATGTCAGTGTAAATATAAATTATTTTTATAATTTATACGTATGCATTTATATTTGCACTTATATTTACATGTAAATATAAATTATATTTAATTTATATTTATATGTAAACATAAGTGCTAATATAAATAATAAAGCTGGACAAATTAACTGCCTTTAAACAAATTTGTTTCTAGCTTGGCTGGCTAATCTTTCATTTCGGAAACCGGACCACCTTGGGAATTTGGGTGTGAATATTTCAGCTCCTGAAAAGCCGTTAGATTAGATGGCTTTAAAATGAAAAATAAAAGTTTCAAAAGCTGAAGCAGTTGAATGGAGGAAAAAAGTTTCTCTTAGCAACAAAATCCAAATAAAATAAAAACTGGCAAACGACCAGACCAGCTCTTGAATTACGGCTTACAGCCCGTTAGCCACGATAACTGGGGCTTGATGGAAACTGGAATTAAAGCCAGCAAGCATGCTTGAAGGATACACTGCCTTGACCCAGGGAAGCTCTTTTAAAATCAACCCGCTTTTTAGCAAGCAAAGCAGCCTGTTTCCCTCTCTTTATGATTTGTTCTTCTGCAAAAAAAAAAAGGCAACCTAAAGGGAAACGACTTAAAACCTGGGTTAATTTTAGTTCCCGCAATTTGGCAAAGTCCCACTAAGCTGTTTTGTTCCTTTTCCTCCCGGCGGTCTAGCTTGGCAGCAAACTAAATTAAGAATTAAAATGTACTTTTTTCTTTAAAAAAGAAAAAAAAAAGCTGCTCGGATCCCAGACCCAGCTGGCCTCTTTCCCAGAAACTCTGCAGACTGTCCAGAAATCTTGTTTTTTTCCCCTCTGTTTGACCCTGGGTGTAAGTCAAGAGGGGTGGATTATGGGTTGGGTGGGGTTAACAGCTGCTTTCCCTCTGCCTGGAAGGGGCAAATTCCTGGAATTGGTGATTTGAGTCACTTGCAGATCTGCGAATCCTCTTTGGTTGGTGGCTCAAATTACAGCCACCACGGAGCCCGACATTTCTGTTGCTAAACGAGAAGATGGTTGAGTGAATTTTGCACCGTTTTACGACGTTTTGTACCACCGTTCACCGTTAAGTGAACGACGGAGCTTCAAAACTGGGCTGTAAGGACCTTTGGGGAAGTTGGTCGTAACTTGGAACGGCTGCTAAATGAGGACTAATTGTAATCTGGTTCCCCCCCCCGCCTCCCCATTAGGTTGGCTCCTTGCTGATGGTCAGTGCAAGCGGAAGCCAGCAGAGCATGGGCAAGGCACCACGGGCTTAAAGAGCTGGGTGCGAAGTTTGCCCGTGGGATTCACTTGGCAAATTTTGGAGACCTCTCCCCCCATCGAAAAGTCTACGGATTGGAGCATGTTCGGGATGGCTGAAGCGTGGGACTCGGATACGAAACTGGTCTGGAACCCGTACGGGACCACCGCGCGCTCGGTGCAAGCCCTGGAGCTGAAACTGGGTTCGCTGGTGCTGCTCCTGTTGGTGACCTTGCTTTGCGCCTTCATCCCCTTGTGGTTGTTCCGAAGGCCGGGGTCTGCCCTCAACACTGGAAGCCTTGGTACGTGGCTGGGGGGGGGTCAGGGATTTGCTGGGTCTGGGGTCCAGGGTGGGCATTTGGAGGGGGGGGTCTCTTCTCCCTGCATGGGATCAGTCTGGATTGAATCAGAATCGGGACTGAATCAGAAGCAGAACTGAATCAATTTGATTTGAATCAGACTCAGAACTTGAACTGAATCAGACTCGAATTTGAATTGACTCAATCAGAATCTGAACTGAATCTGAGTTGAATCAAAATTGAATCTCAAATCAGAACTGAATCTGAATTGAATCAAAATTGAATCTGAACTGAATCAGAATCAGAACTGAATCTGAGTTGAATCAAAACTGAATCTGAATTGAATCAGAATTAGAACTGAGTCGAAGTTGAATCAGAATTAGCAAATTTCTTTTTCCTGTTTTTGCACACCTGATAATACACGTAGTCCTGGTCTTAATTGGCCACAGCCAGGATCAGAATTTTTTTTAAAAAAAACCCTTCATTTTGAGTCCATTCCAAGACTAACCTGGTTTACAGGCTGTTTAAACACACACACACACACACACACACACACACACACACACACACACACACACACCGGTTGCATCTGAAGGGGTTAATGATGGTTTACTTATCTACTTTTATTTCAAAATCATGCTTGAGCATCTAATCTTTCCTTTTGGCCTTGAGAAAAGCAGCAATTGGGGAGGGGGAATGTTATTTGCTGTTTTTAGAAATGCTTCTGTTTTTAAAAAGAGCATTAAAAAAAAAGAATGCATCGGATTGGCTTCTCTCTTAAATTTTTGGGGCTGATTAAAACTGCCTGGTTTACTTTTTAGCCTCTGTGTCTGCCGAAATAATAAAAACAGGAAGTTAAATATTTATTGGACATTCTTGATCTTGAGGAAGGCCCCAGCAAAACATAGTTTTTGGCTTAGGGTAGAGGCTGGCCATCAGGATGTGTGCTGTCCGATTTAAATAATGTTTTCTTTTTTTCCTGGAAGTGGAGGGGGGAATATTGAGGAACTCGTGTTTGGAAGAAGAGTCAAAAAAAGGGGGAAATGTAGCCGGTCACACTTTAAAAAAAAATGGCTCAAAACAAACAATGCTGTTGAGAAAGCAGGGTTTTTTTCTTTAAAAGTTCAGTATTTGAACCCAAATAGAATCCAATCTTTTTTTTTTTCCTAAACAGAACGTTTTGGCTATGTTTCAGGATGGCTTCCCCCCATCTCTCCTGCCCCTTTTGTCTATAAAAAATAAAAATCTCCTTGCAAAAAATAAAAAAAATGAGTTATTTCGCAGCTGAATGCGAGTTGGTGTTCCTGGTTCATGCTGGTAAAAAAAGCCTTTTGTAATTTTTCCACCTTTTTCCTCTTGTTTTCTTCCTATAACAGGTCCTCAAAGGAAAACTCTTAGCCTGGTGAGCTGTTTTGCCGGCGGCATCTTCTTGGGAACGTGTCTTCTGGATCTGCTTCCTAGTTATCTCGCCAGCCTGAACGAAGCCCTGGAGGATCTGCACGTCACGGTGAGTGAAGCTGTGAAAGGGGCCGCCTTTGCAGATCCCACGATCTAGGTTTTAATTCTCTCTCTCTCGAGGGAAAAAGCACATTCGGGGTTACAGCGTATCGGTGCCCTGTTTTGGCCTTGTGCAATGGTGACGGGAAAAGAGGTCGCCAGAGTTTCTTTTGTGCGAACGGTGTACTAATGAATTCCTGTTCCTGCTCCCTCTCTCTCACCACTGCATTTTGATTTTCTGGCTTGCTTTTCTTTCTTCTGCGTGAGAGTAGTCCTTCCCGGCAGTGCTTCAAGATAATCGGGTTTCCTGTCTAGCTTCAAAGGGAAAGGCAGAATCCGGAGCAGGGAGCTTGAAGCTGAATAATAATAAATAATAATGTTGGAAGGGACCTCGGAGGTCATCTAGTCCAACCCGCTGATGTCTCCTTTTCTCTCTCTCTCTTTCCCTGGACAGCTCCGCTTCCCGTTACAGGAATTCATCCTGGCGATGGGTTTCTTCATCGTTCTGGTTCTGGAGCAGGTTGTGTTGGCTTACAAGGACCCTTCAGGATCCCTGGAGGAGACTGAAGCTCTCTTGAGCTCCGCTTCCCATCAGCATCCCTCCCTGCAGGAGCAGGCGCGGCCGGAGGGATCCCAGTGGCCCCCGCTCGCTCGGGACCGCCTGGCTGGCGAGCGCACCCACGTCCACGTGGACTTCAACGCCCACTCGGCCATCCGCCTGGTGGTCCTTTTCCTGGCTCTCTCGCTGCACTCGGTCTTTGAAGGGCTGGCCGTGGGGCTGCAGGAAGACGGCACCCAAGCCCTGGAGATCTGCCTGGCCCTGCTGATCCACAAGGGAGCCATCGCCTTCAGCCTGAGCCTCAAGCTGCTGCAAGGGAGGCTGCGTCCCCGCGTGGTGGCCATCTGCCTGGTGATCTTCTCCGCCATGTCCCCCTTCGGCATCGGGCTGGGGGTGGCTCTGACCGAGGTCCCCATGGCTGCCCTGTCCCGCCTCTCCCGCAGCGTCCTGGAAGGCCTAGCCACGGGGACCTTTGTCTACATCACCTTTTTGGAGATTCTGCCCCACGAACTCGGCTCTTCCGAGCAGCGCATCCTCAAGGTTATCGTTCTGCTGCTGGGATTCGCTCTCGTCACCAGCGTTTTGTTCGTGAAGGTCTGAGCGGGGCGGGTGGGGGGTGGCGTGGGGCCGGGGAGGGGAGAAAAACCAGCCCCTGCCAGATACACTCTGCGGGGAGAACCACCTCTTCCATGCCACCGATTCCTCCTTACAGAATTAGCCAAACTTTTTCTTGGTTCCCCCCCCCATTTCCCCCCCCCCCGGTGCCAAAAATGACTCTTATCACTCTTGCAATCAGTCTCAACTCAAAAAACTGGCAGCAAGCTCCTGTGACTTTGAATTGCCTCCTCCAAACTTGCAAATCCATCCCGGAGGAACAGAACGGAAGATTCCCACATCACCACTCCGTTGAAAACTCCCAATATTTTCCACCGGGTAATTCTAGAGCTCCGCAGTGGGGCTAGGAATTTTTTCAATTTGGTTGAAAACGGGGCTGTTTGGGTTCGTTAATAAATTGGGTCGGGATGGGGAAGGGGGGGGGAGATATTTTTGGTGCCAACCATCTCCATTCCACTTCGGAGTGAGAGAACCACTTTGCCTTAAATTTTTTCCAGTGCCTTAAAATGTGTACGGTTTGACCCACGTGGGGAGACCAAGTTAATCCAGCACTACTTGATGGCTTACGGAGAAGCTGGTTACATCAAGCTGTGGTTGAACCGCAGGCAGCTGAATAAGTCACCATGGGCAGCCTAAGGCAGTCGGTGTCACGTTGCCCGATTGTGATGCTTGCTGAATGAGGAAACTAACCAGGTTGCTCAGAAAGCATCCCATGAACGGGGAGGGCAAGGAGGCAAAAGGAGCACGGGACCGTCAATTTTTGTGCATTTTATTGTGTTGAAAAATCTATTTGGGAGTGAAGGGCAGAGCAATTCTCCCTCCCTCCCCTTTTTTTACATTTTAAAAAAGTTTTGAAAGTTTTCCTTCCTCGTGGCAGAGATTATTTTACTTACCCCCTCTGCCCAGTTCCTGCATCACAACTTCCATTGTCCCCAGCCCACTGGGGAGGATGGGAGAGAGAATCTGATGCATCTAGCAAATTTGGGGGCTGTTTTTTTTGTTGTTGTTGTTGTTTTTGCAATTCTGCAGCATCCCAGTTTGCAGTGGGGGGGGGCGTGTTCAGAGGGATTGCGAGGAGAGACGGCAACTCTCTTAGCAAAGGGGAAGTTGTGTGATTGTGGTGAGTGGAACTGACAAGCTGGGACTCTGCTTAGGTTAGAGCAAATCGAATAAAAGCATTTTTTATTTTAACTACATGCCGTTTGGTTTCTGTGTGGTGTTTATTCCTGTTGTGGGAGGGGGTTTGGGGGGGGAACAGATCTCTGGTGGATTTTTTTTCCAGTGCTTTCATTAACTTGGAGATCTGGGATCAAATTAGAGCTATAAGTGAGCCGTGTTATGCATCGGTGTAGTGGATTATTTTCAGGGGAGTGAATTGCTTCCAAACTTCCAAGTTTCTAGTCCTTAGGAGGAATATGTCATCTGGGTGGCAAAGGGATTCAGAGCAGCCCTCCCCCCTTTTTATCACGTTATTTCCCCCCCTCTAAGTAATACAATAGCTGTAGTTAAGGCCCAGCATCAAACCCTCAAAGACTTTTATCGGCTAAGTAAAAAAAAATTGAGAATTGACCTCCCCTGGGAGCACAATGCTGGCTGATCTGCCCTCTTCAGCTCTAAATCTTAATTAATGCACAATGAAATAGACCCAGGGTTCGATTTAGTGTGCTCTAATTGGCATTTTTTTAACCTAGCTCCAGCTTTGAAAGGGGCTGATTTATCCTGCAAAAAGACACTTAATTTTTTTTTGGGGGGGGGGGGTTCCTTAAAAAAACAAAACCATGTATGCTGCACAGACACGAGCACCCTTCCTGCTTCTTTTGCTCCTGCCAGAGTTTAATTGTGCTTTAATGCTGCTGAGTTGTTATTTTTTTAAATGATGCTTGCTTCATTTGCAAAAAGTCTGCCCTGCCGGGACAGGCGGCAGTAGCTTCGGGCTACAAAAACGGATCGTGCCAAGAGCTCAGGCTGCTCCCTCAATTAAGATTTATTAGATTTATCGAGCGTGCTTCCTAAGCAGTGAAGCAGTGTCAGGCTGCCTAGCATGGCTTGAAAGATTTTAGCTTCCTTTCTCTTGCCGGTTATTCCTCAGACTTATGACCACAATTGGGGAAAGCAGAATTGGGGGAAATTAGGCAGTTCATCAGTCGCTCCTGATTTTGCAAGCTGAATCAGAAACAGAATAGAGCTGGGAGGACCCTGGAGGTCTTCTAGTCCAGCCCCCTGCTCAAGCAGGGGATCCTATACCATGTTAGACAAGCGACTGTCCAGTCTCTTCTTAAAAACCTCCAGTGAGAAGGAGGGAAGGAAGGAAGGAAGGATAGATCAACAGCTGGAAGGGACCTTGGAGGTCTTCTAGTCCAGCCCCCTGCTCGAGCAGATCCTATCTAGGCTATGACACAAAACTTAAAAAAGCAGATCCGCCTCGGGAGAATTAGGAGACAGACAAACAAAACATCCTGAACCAGTCCAGAAGCCGAAAGCTGCTGAGCGCTGCTGGGCTTTGAACAAAGAGTGTAATAGCACTTAGACTTATATACCACTTATATAAGTCAGAGCTGAAGAAGCGAAACATCTTCAAGGAAAAACAAGGAAGTCCAGTTGCCTGTTGAAAAATCACCTTTGGGACAACCATGTCCTGGATGACTGAGAATCTCCATAGACATTTGTCTGAAATGGTATATAGGCCCCTATCTGGAGGGCGCAGCAGGGTGGAAAATGTGGAGAGGGGTCTCATTAAAAGTTTTATTAAAATCCTTATGATCGGGATATAAATGTATTGGGCTTCTTTTGAAAACATTTAACTGTGGCTGGGAAGAGTTCCAATAATAGAAAAAGGAAGAAATAGTTTCAAATTTGAGTCCATTTCTTTCACTGGGCAAGACACTTTGTATCAAAGTCTTTATTATAACATGTTAGCAGAATCCCTAGAAAAGCAAAACAAAGCAAAGCAAAGCAAATCAGTCCTGGTTTTTTTTTTTTTCTTAAAAGAAAAAGACTGAAAATAATAACAAATTCAAAATAAAACCAAGACTTTGAGCCTGGCAAGATTGTGACAGGATGGAGAAGATGCAAGCAAAAAAACAGAAAAAGAGCTTTAAATGTTAGGTGGAGGGGATGACCCACCAACCAGAAGGGCAATCTGTTGCAAGAGAAACAATCCCCATCACACACACACACACACACACATCCAAGGCCGGCTAATGGGACCTGTAGTCCAAAGTATCTCATATATACTGTACATATAACCATAATTTCATTTTTATTATTTTTGGTATGTATTACATTTTCAGATTTTTTTTGTAAAAACAGTGAGCATTTTAAGCAGGGGGGAAACCTGCTCAACAGGAGCAAAAAAAAAAAAAAAAAGCTCTGTTGCAAGAAGAGACCATCTCTATCAACACCCCCCCACCCCGGAGGTGGCTGATGGGACTTGCAATCCAAAGCATTCCTCATCAGAAGCCCAAAGTCACCCTCGGGATCTCTCAATCCTAAAAAGCACTGCTGCAAAAATGTTGGGGATGTTTTAAAAACTGGGGCCCCCCGTGCACAAGGGGAGACCCGCTGGCAGCCTGGCGGATGGGGTTTGTAGTCCAAGGGTCCCCTAGGAGGCGGGGCGAAGCCTTGAGAAGAAGGCATTGCACGCACACGCACCCCCAGCCTGGCAGCCGCCTAATCGCCTTCACCTGTGCGGCCGAAGCCCACCTGGCCGTGATGAGCCTTCCCGCGCTCCACGGCCGTCTCCACGGCAACCGCCCCGCGAGCCTGGGAACCAGCCGAGCGATCGCACCTGTGCTTGCGCGCGAACGAGCGCGCGCCCTTCCCGCCCAGCGCCCTGGGGCCACCTTTCTGGACGCCCATCACGCCCGCCATTGGCTGCTCCGAAAACGCGTCCCTCGGATTGGCTGAGCGGCCTCTCCTCGCGCCGAGAGGCGGGGACGTTTAAAAAGTCGGCGGGCTCCTCAGCCTGAGGGCAAAAAGCGGAGCGAGCGCAGACGCCGCTCCCGCGTCCCTCGGTGCCCGAAAGGGTGGCTGCTGCGGGGCGCCGGGGGGCTCAAATGCCTCTCTCCGGCGCTCCCGCGGCCCAAGCCCTCGAGCTCGAGGCCGGGCAGGGCCTTTTGAGCTTTTGAGGTAATTCTAGCGGGGGCTTTTCCAGCTGTGAGGGGCCTGAGGGGGGCGCGAGTCCTTGAGCGAATGAAGAGCTTATTGCTCTCGGGGAGTCAGGATAGCCCCCGGGGTCGCTTTAAGCGCGGCGTGTCTTCTTTGGAGTAAAACGCCAGGAGGGGGGGGGGCTGAGGTGATACCTCAAGGGGGCTTCACTCAAAGGACGCCAATACCGCAGGTCACTAAAGACGGTACTTATTCTCCGTCTTTCCCTCGGGGAATAACGCAAAGCGCGGTGCCTTGAAGTCATTCTAGCCAGAGCCCAACTTCTTAAAAGTTGGGTGGACCCTGAGGTAATTTCAGCCATGTCCTTTTAGAAAAAAAAAAGGATCAAGCCACCACGGGTGAATAAGAGTGAAAATTAGCTTGGGAGTAAAGTCTGAGATAATCTTAGCCATTGCAGAAAGCTGAGCCAATTTTAGGCAGGTGCAGTTAAAAGGGCTAAATGACCACAGGTGAATAAGCATTAAAATTAGCTGAAAGGGAAAATGGCTTCTGTCCCTGGAGTTGCCTTTCTTGAAATAAAGTCAGCTCTTGAAGAATTCTTCAGCTAATTTTAGCCAAGGTGCACATTTTAAAATGTTGGTGGAACCTGAGCTAATCTCAGCCGTGTCCTTTTAGAAGGACCAAGCCCCCATAGGTAACTCAGAATTAAAAATACTTTTAAAGGTAAAGATAAAATTACTCAGGAGCTGACCTTGCTCTCAGGAATAAAGTGATTTCTTGGGACTTAAGGTAACTTTAGTGGGCTCAGGTCCTTAAAAGAAGCAAAATATGTAGAGGACTAGCTACTTGAAGTAACTAAACAAAAAAGTTAACTAAAATTAC